CCCAGCCCTGTCCCACCGTCCTCTGGGAACAGAGGGGGGTCTCTGTGTCACGCCCAGCCCTGTCCCACCGTCCTCTGGGAACAGAGGGGGGTCTGTGTGGGGTGGGGGGTTTGTCTTACTCATTAATGGCTCAGAGCCAGAATAGAGGGTGGAACACTCAGGGATCCACTCTAACTGGTGGCCACAAGCTCTGAGACTCCTGTGGGTGTCGGTGAGACTTGGGTGGGGACCAACCCAAAGCCTGCCGGGGAAGGGGCAGCTGGCCTGGCTGCCCTGTCCCTGAGCGGCTCTGGTGGGCATTGTTGTTATACTCATCCTTTGGAGGTCACCTTCAGGAGCAAGAAGCCATGCAGTGGGCCTGGCCGCTCCAAACTGCACCAGGAGCCTTGCTGGGCACGTCCAGACCCAGGACTAGGGTTAGCTGCAGGCTTGGCCAGTGGGACCCAGCTCTCCCTGCGGTGCCACAGTGAGCTCCGCGAGCCGGAGGTGGGATGAGGTGGATGGTGCACCCCAGGGCAATTTAGCAGGGTAAGGTGGGTCAGTGAGCGGGGAGGCCCAGGAGGGCCTGCCGTGAGTGGAGGGCCACGTGGGGGCCCCTGGCAGCCAGGGCAGAGCAGGAGGCCCCTCACCGTGGCTTTGTGATGGAGTGGCGAGGTGGGGGCAAGTCTGAGGACACAGGCAGAATTCAGTGGCCCAGCTGCTGGGGCTCTGGGTCATGGGTCCCTATTGACAACTCTCTCCCTGAGTGACCTGGGTGTCCACTGGCTTGGAGGTGACAGGAGAGGTGGTGTCGGGGATGTGGGGGTTGGTGGGGTGAATCTCAAAGGCAGGCTCTGCACCTACGGGTCGTTGTCCACCTCTAGAAATTAGCCAGCCCTGGGAAGGCTGGCCCCTCCCTCCAACGAGGCCCCAGATGCAGAGCCTCATTTAAAAGTGAAAAGAAACATGACTAAAGGGTGGTCCAGGGCAGAGTGGCCTTTGGCCACGGTCCCCCAGGGACCTAGTGTCCTCAGCTCCTGCGCCTGGGTCTTCGAGGCCCTCAGGCTTTGGCTGGCCCTCCCAAGCACACAGTGGGCCCTGAGTATCCACTGTTCTGGAGCCACCTGAGGGACGCCATGAAGATGTCTGAGGGCAGAGGAAGCTTCTCTTCCTTGTCTAACAGCAAGAGGAACTGGCAGCAGGCAGGCCTGTGCCTGGTGACCAAAGCTCCGGGCGGCACTGGCCCTGCCATGGGGTGGGTGGCCTGCGCAGGCTGGGCCTGGCCAGGAAGTGGGCTGTGCCCCGCCCAAGGCCGAGGTTGGCACGAGCCCTTGGGATTCTCGTGTGTAGAGATCGTCTCTCCACGGTCGCTCCCTGATGCAGGGCCTGTGGACTCGCGGGGTTGCTTCACGCTTGGGCTCTGGGAGCACCTGCCGCGGTTTCCCGCCACCTGCCGCCGTGCCCTCGTGCCTGGGGCCCTGGTGTTAGATTTGTTTTCTGAGCACCTCCTGACTCTCGGCACCACCAGCTTTCCTGGGCTCGTCCTGCTCCTTGTGCAGGCACGAGGAAGGAGGTCGTGGGGCCTCTGGTCAGCATGGGCAGCCTGCCCTGTCCTCATGGCCGGGTGCTCTAATGCCCCAGCACCCGTAGGGCCTGGGATGGGCTTGGGCTGCTGTGACAAAGCCACAGTGTGGGCTGACCACGGCCACTGTGGTCTCACCCAGGAGCTGTTCTTCTGGGCCTCTTCACCGCACCCTCCCCCCCGTGTCCTCCCAGGTTGTCCCCTGTGTGCTGTGATCTGACCCTTCCCGTAGGGACAGGGTCATGTTGGACCAGGGCCTCCTTTTGGAAGACCTCCAGAGGCCTCGAGTGTCAGTCCTTCCACGTGTGGGTTCTGGTGGGGAGACCCCATCTCCCTTCCCCGCCTCCAGACGTGGAGCCCTGGTCAGGGGCCTCTCGGCCTCTGAGGGCCTCTCGGCTCTCCCAGTCCCTCCCTCCAGTCTCCCTGAGGTAGGTTCCCCAAGGCCCACACGCATCTGCTTGTCCAGGCCCCGTGGCCACCCCAGCGCTGCCGTGGAGTGATGGAGCCTCAGGCCACACACCCACAAAGGCTGTGAGGTGCTGCCCTGGAGGGCCCCTCGGAGCAGGAGCTGCCCTGTGGGCACCAGGACGGCAACGCCAGGTGCGGCCAGGTGGCCAGAGGACCATGGGCCCTTGTGGAAGGGAAAGTGACCTCTGCAGTCAGCAAGAACTCCTGAGGCCATGTGCAGCTGGGAGCTGCCTGCCCTGGGAGCAGCAGTGTGGTCAGCCGGCCTGTGCTCCCTGCCCGCCCCTGGGAGGACACAGGCCCAGCCACGTCCACACACCCCCACGTCCACACACCCCCACGTCCACACACACCCACATCCACACACATCTATGTCCACACACATCCACGTCCACCACACCATCTACACACACCTCCATGTCCACTCCCACGTCCACACACACCCACATCCATACACACCCACGTCCACATCCCCCCACCACACACACACCTACCCCCCC